GGTTTAGTGGTGGTGTGTAGTGGAAAGAGTATACAGTTGACCAAAGAAAAACAATAACAATATGCTGAGACAAATAAGTATATTATTCCACAAATAAGAAAAAGAAATGGTGTACATAAAATATACGGTCTTCTGGTGATAGAAGGAAAAGATGACGAAAATCATTCTTTTACCACGGTCGCGAGAACAAATTTGGTAACTTGAGGCGACCGGTCTGTAAGTTGCCACCGGTTCCGATAACTTTTCCCACCTCTGTCCGGTTTTCCGAGGTAGGTAGGTAGTATCGGAAACGGTGTTGTCGTTGTCCTGGTTGGGGCTGGGTAGAGAGCAGTCGTGGCTCCTCGATAGTGGCGTACTTAATGTACCTGCACCACAGCGGGACCGCGTCATATTGTATAATAATTTCAACAGACAAGATATCTAACAAGGATATTTAAGTTATTATTATCTTTAGTTATTTAAGTTAAAGAAGACTCACTAGCGTCTAAAAACTGTTTAATATAGGCAATTTAAAATACACTCCGGAATAATACGGTCCGGATGAATACGTTCCGGGATCATACGTTCTTAGCAAATAAGGTTTTCTAATTTTTGATTCCGGCGAGATACGATCCGGATATATACGTTCCGGGATTATACGGTCCGGACATATATTTTCCGGATTATTTAGCCCTCCATATCGAGCAAAATATTGAATGTAATGTACTCAGTGGCGTATTTACGGGGGGAGGGGGTTCCCGGGTCTTGACCCCCCAGAAAAAAATTTAAAAAGTCATAAATAACTTAGTACGTAGGTACCGAGAAGGAGATTATTAATTTTATATTATGGGTTTATAATGTTTCTATTATAAAAAAAAAAAAAAAAAATACAATACCTATTGATTGTTTAAATAACTTGGGTTTAACTTTTGGTTATTTTTGTTGCGTCGTCGCCGTCCAACGACGACAACTACGACGATAACGAATCCGACGACGGAAACAACGACGATAACGACGTAACATAATAACTATATATTAATAATTATATATTTATGTTAGTAAGTACGCCGACTATTATTGACATTATAGTAGGCATTCAGCGTAGTGCGTTCGTCGTCCGTAATAATTTGCAGTTTGTTATTGACGGCATTGACATAATATTTGCTTAATTCGCTACACGAACACCGAAACCCTTAACAAGACAGTAAGGACGTACGGTAATTGCTAATTTATAATTTCAAATTTAATTCACAAATATTATTGTTTGATGTAACGTGTAAAGTGAAAATATTAAAATGATCTAATTTTTATTTGATACACTACTCAAAATTGTATACTTCTAAATTTACAATGCTTGTATACACTAGGTATATATAATATTATTCTAAATAGATCACAATTATGACTTCTAAAAAGCAACCCAATATTCAGACTTTTTTCAAACCTCAAAAAGTTGATAATATACAAAATAAAACAGGTTCAGTAGTTTCAGGATCAGATAATGATATCCCTACGTCGTCCACGTCCTATATAAATAGACACGATATTTTCAATTACGTCAAAAGAGTATTGACTCAAAATGAAATACATGATATACTAAATGCAATTTGGATTTCCGATGTAATTAATTAATTAAATTAAATTAAATTAAATTAGTTTTCCTGTGAAAATATTTATTGTTGGAAAAGATAAAACTGCTTGGCACTTGAGTTTCAATATAAATGGTTTGCTAGCTTTTCTTGGTTAGTGTATTCTGATATAGACAAGGGAGCGTATTATAAATTATGGTAGCTTTTTCAACAAATTATGCTGGAATTAATAATCATGCGTTAGGATTATTAGTTACAAAAAAATATGACAACAGGAGACATGCATTAGAATATTTCAAAAATCACTCGCAACTAGAATATCATAAAAAATGTATATTAGATTCAGAAAACTTTTTAAATATTATTAAAAATCCCACTTCATCAGTAGACAAATAAATTGATATTGGAAGGAAAAAAGAAATAATACAAAATCGTAAAAACATCATTCCTGTTATTGAGGCAATTATTTTGTGTGGTCGGCAAAATATGGCAATAAGAAGGCATCGTGACTCAGGGAACATTTTCAAATCATGCTCAGATGACAAACAAAATAATAATGGTAATTTTAGGGCAATTCTTCGCTATAGGGCCCAAGGTGATAGTGATATGAGATCATATCTTGAAAGTTCTGATACCATTAAGTACACAAGTTCTACTAGTCAAAATGAAATAATCGATTCTTGCAATAAACTATTATATAGTTTAAACTATATATTATAATATTATATAAACTATAGTTTAAACTATTATATATTCTTGCTGACGAAACGGCTGATGTGTCGGATATAGAACAGGTATCTTTGTGTGTCAGATATGTTGAATTAAGCACCCTTGAACTTCATGAAGATTTTTTGTAATTTTTTCTTGCTATTGACATGACAGAGAAAGGATTGGCGAAATTAATAATTGATAATCTACAAAATTTTGGCATAAATACAACATACGTGGTCAGGGGTATGATGAGGCGGCCTCTATATCGGGAAAATTGAATGGCGTTCAAGCACATATTAAAGACACTCACCCCAGAGGCGTAGCCAAGGGGGGGGCTAAGGGGGCTGTAGTCCCCCCATGGGCTGTGTTTATATGTATAATGTATCTTGACTATTTAATAGAATCAATGGATGCTCGTTTTAATCAAAGGCTTATTGATGTTATGCCACTTGAAGGACTTATTCCGGCTAATTTAAATATTTATGACGATAAAAATATTATAAAAGCTGCTAAAATATATGTCCAAGATCTCCATGATGATACCTCATCTACAATCAGAGCTGACTTGTTCATATGGAGGCAACAATGGAGTCAAAATACTATTCCAAAACCGAATTCTGCTCTTGATTCACTCTCTCATCGCACCAATCTTCGAACTAACATTAAAATACTTTTACAATTATTCGCCACGTTACCAGTTACCTCTTTAACTCCCGAAAGAACGTTTTCAGCACTTAATCGCTTAAAATTTTTTTTAAGAAGCACCATGTCGGAAAACAGACTGAATGGATTAGCTATGGCTAATATAAATAAAAAAGAGCAATTCGATGAAAGTGAAATAATAACTGAATTTACCAGAAATTCGCCTAAGAGGATGCAGCTATCAGAGTGGAGCAAGTGACTGAACACTGAAACCAAAATTATTATTATTATTATAAATTATATATCAATAAATATTTTTAAAACTATACTAAAATGCTTGAATTATGTTTAAAAACTTGGTGGTAGATGGTGGGGGGGGGTTAAGTATGAATTCTCATATCCTCTCTTACCTTACTTATCCAAAAAATGTGGTTAGCCCCCCCATTTAAAAATCCTGGCTACGCCACTGACCCACCCTGTAGCAATTTATGTACACTGTTCAGTACATGTGTTAAACTTGGTGGTATCTAAATCATGTAGCGCGACTCAAATAAGAGGCTGTTTAGGAACTTTAGGGATAGTCTGCGATTTCTCTATTTTTCCGAAAAGAAAATCAATTTTTCAATTTCATATTAAAAATTCATCAAAAACGTCCACAAAAAAGTCGTTGAAAAAAAACTTGCGAAACTAGATGGATAGAACAGTTTCACGCAATAAACGATTTTATGGAACTTTATGAGTATGTCATTGAAGAAGCATTGGATACAATTTCGGAATGGGACGATAACGATACTTCGAATAAAGCAAGACGTCTTAGAAGTTCTATTTTAGATATAGAGTTTGTGATATCATTATTCGTACTAAACAAAGGTTTCAGTATAGGTCTACCACTTTCAAAGTTTCTACAAAAATTAAACATCGATCTTAAATTGGCTGTACAATTAGCAAATGATATACAAAAAGAATTACAAAAACTTCGAACACACGCCGATGAATTTTTCAAGGAAATATTTGAAGAAGTTAAAGTAGCAGCCGAAAAATTTGATATTGAAATTAAAATTCCAAGATTAACAAAAAAACAAACTAATAGATGCAATATACCATTAAATACTCAGGAACAATATTATTGAGCATCAATTGTTATACCTTATCTTGACAAATGTATTACAGTGCTAGATGAAAGGTTCAATGTTCATCGATCAATTTTATCAGGTTTCGATTCTCTATTTAGGGAAAATGGTCCCATCCAAGATATTATACTTCTTTCAAATAAATGTATTGAAGATTTACAGAAGGAAGGATCTCAACATCAAATTATTGAAGCAGAATACAAATTATGGCAAAGAAAACTCATGCGAACAACAGAGAAACCAAATAATGCTCAAGGGGCTATGGCTATATGTACTTAACAAGTCAATTTATTCAAATATATTTAAACTTCTTCAAATCTTAGACACGCTTCCTGTTTCCTCTGTAACAAATGAAAGAACATTTTCATATTTAAAAAGAATAAAAACATATCTAAGGAATTCCATGTCAGAGGTAAATTATTATAAACTTAAATAATATTCTTGTTATTTACAAATTACAATTAAACACTTTGTTTATTTTTTTTTTTATAGGGAAGATTGAACGGTTTAGCGGTGTTATCAATAAATAAAAAGTACTTAATAAAACCAGAAGAAGTTATTGAAGAATTGACGAGAAAAAAAAGACGTTTACCTTTTTTATTATAATATAACTATTAATTTGTATTAATAAATTATAATAGTAGTGAAATATAGATAATATAATACAAATAATATAATTATTACATCAAAACTCGTGTTTTTTTATATTAAAAACTTTGGTCCTTAATATTTAGACCCCCCCCAACAAAAAATTTGAAAATACGTCACTAAATATACTAATTATTTAGTGAAAATCAGTTCATCAAAGTTTATTTTAATCTCAAAATTTATAACTTATTGCATGGTAAGTGATAACAATGATTATCACATCTTGATAACAAATAACAAGTGTAAATATTATTATCAAACATTTTTTTTTATCAGAACATGGTCTTTTAGTATTGAGTGATAAAACCTCATATCGATTAAAATTTTATTTTAACAGTCGAATAAATACTGTATGGTATAAATACATTAGAAACAATAACTTGAATTTATTAGAATATTTTTGATTTTTCGTAACGAAAATTTTAATTTAGATTGTTAAAATGAATGCCGAAGAAAGACGAGAAGCAAGACGTAGGAGAATATTGCAAAATTCCGAAACCAGGCTTAAAAAAATCACTACATTAAGTACAAACGAAAATTTGTTAGATGGACAATCAGACTTCATAAAAGACGAATGGGGTAATAAATAATTTTTTTTTTTTTATATTTATTAACAAATGAATTAGCTATTCATAATATTTATTATTTAACATAAGATTATGTTTTTTAAATAATTCAACTATTAAATATTCAAGCACATTTGAAAATTCTTATCTCTTTTATAATGTTAATTGTAAAAAATTAACTTAATAGTTTTTTACAATTTATCTGAAAATAGTTAGAAAATGATAAAGATTTTTAATTTTTTTTATTTTCAGAAAATAGTACAATGAATCCTGTATTATCTGATTGGCCTGTTCCAAAATGTAATTTAGATACTGGAACATCAACAACAATTCTTGAGGAGAAACGTGTTTTTAACTTTGAACCAAATCATCTTAATACAAATTTACATTCCAAAAATGTTACTTATAAAATCAAATGTTCACCCATTACAATTTTACATATAATATTATCTCAAATTGTTTTAGTATTATTTTACTATGACTTAGGATTTTTATTTGGCAATGTAAGTTTTCTATTATTGAATATTAAATTATTGAATCTAATTACAGTATTTAATGTTACAGTATATTTTAAACTTTTAATTTAACAAAGAAATTATTTTTTGAAACAGATGGTTAAAAAAATAAAATAAAATTAGCAACCAAATTGATCTTAGACTTTAAGTTCTTTATTTTCAGTCTTATAACATAATCTAGATTACTGTAATATTAGAGAAAACTATGAACTTCATGGCAAACCATTGACATGAAATTCATATTCAAAAGAATTTCAGAAAGGTAAAAGTATACCAAAATAAATCTGTAAATATGTGATTTAAAATTGCAAAACTTTTTTTTTTTTTTTTAACAAAATTTTATATTACGCTATCTGTTACAATTAATGAACAATAAGCTTAAGCGATAAAAATATAATAAAATAGACAGAAGAGACTGAGGGAAATTGCAAAACTTAACATATAAAACATACTTCAATTTAAATAATTTAATTTAATATTTATAATTATTTTATTGGTTACCAAATATTTGGATTTTAGTAAAAATTGTAATTTAGTTAACCTCAAAGATTTCATACTGCTTAATTAAATCATTAAATTATATTATATATATATATATATATTATATTATATTATATTTTAAAACTACATTTATAAATACTACACTTTTCAGAATATTTTTTTTTCAATTAAATATTTATCATTATATTCTAATTAAAAATGATAATACTTCCCTAAAGTTGTATATACATATATATGTGTATGTATGTGGACGTGTATTAGTGATTAGCATCTAGTGTCTGTATCTTACTCATATTTATTTAAAATTGACTTTATTGCACGAATAATTATTTCTCGAGTATAACTACTCAATTTTTCTTGATTCTTATACATTAATTTATTACACGAATAGAATACAGTTAATTTATACTGGTAACTATATCTTAATTTAAAGTGAGTTAAATTAAAAAATACTATATAATATAATATATATATATATATATATATAAAAATAAATATTTGTTTTTCATTTATTTATAATTTAAATACTCTATTATTTTATTTCATGAATATTGATATTGGTTTAAAATTTGATCATTGTTTATTCTAGTTAAATCTTTTACCAACTGACTGAATATTTTATTATTTTTTAGTCTGTTGTGGTACCATTTTTGTTAAGCATTGTACCTGAGTTATATACATCCAAAGAACAACATGATAGTATACACATGGTTATGTTATTGATGCTGGGGCTTTCTCAGAATTCGGCAAAATGGATATCCAGGTGTATAAAATTGACAAGCGTAGTGGGAAAAAGGTTTTGTATATATATTTTTTGTTTTGTATGTTCATATGCTATGTTAACACTTATAAATTTTGATATCAAACACACCAGTTCCATAACATAATAAAAAATAATTTATTTTTATTTTTAATCATTTATTGTAAATTTTTTTTTTTAATTATATTATTTTTTACTATTATAGTTGACTAAAATGTTTAATGGGCCTTATTATTTGGATTACGTTAAATGAATTATTGGAAGCTTGCAATTATTACATTTATGATGTTATTGGTATTTTGTTATTATTAATACTTGAGTTTAGATACAATAATTATGGAAAATTGTTAAAAATAAATGTATATTTACTATATTTACTATACATTTAACGAGATGGTCTTAAAGGCCCAATAAACCCACAAAAAAAAAAAAATGTATATTTTTTAAGAAGTTTAATTACTATTAAATATGTAATTAAACATATTTATATTATACATTAATACTCAAATGACTGCATACGAATTTCATCTAAAAATATATTTATATAAACTTAATGGAATTACTTTGTTATGATTAAGAGTTATCTGAAATGCATGCAAGTAGATTTGTAGAACAATATACCATAAAATTAAAATTAAATAAAAGTATCTTAAGAATGGACATTTGGAAAGACCTTATATTTTGGTAAAATAAATACGATATTTGAATCAAATTTTAAAATAAAGCAATGGTAATAATCAGCCAGCAAGACTTCATATACTAAGAATAGAGTATGTATAAAATTTAGTTAAAAAATACCTAAATATACACTTAAATATAAATTATTAAATTTTACTACCCAACAAAGCCAAAAAGCCTTTGTATATTTCTAGGAACCCAGCCATGTACATCAATGGTACTGAAAATGTCTATTAGTTCTTGTTCATCCAAAACTAATTTAACTATCACAGGAAAATAGTTTGGAAAGCTTAATAATCTAAATGATTTTATGTCCCTGCTCATTAAGGAAGATTACTCTATCATTAACCAGGTTTATGAGAACAGCGTTTTCCCATAAACAGTCCAAAAGTCATATTATGATAAAAAAAAGACAAGTTCAGATAGTTTCATGGTTTTTGTTAAATTTTAAGAAATTTTTTAATCAGCAAATAATACTGAAATTTCTTCATATGCACTACACTATTTAACTGTTCCATCCCAGTGTTTTTAGTACAATTTTCTATTTAAATACATTTGTTGATAACAATTTTAAGAATACTGTAGGACTGACAACTAAAATTATGTGACAAACCGTTAGTGTTGTCAAACTAAATCTGTAATTATTACTAGATGTAAATGACCAACATTTTATTAAAATATTTTTAATATGCAAATATATAGTTTGTAATTAAGAAAATATACCCATTGTTCAACAAATACATGCAAAAACTTATTGAAAATAAGTTATGAACTTTTTTAAACGTGTTAAAAAATAATTTAAAAATATACATGTACATAAAATATGAAAGAAGACATATTAATATTGTATATACACCACTTTAGAAATTAGAACTTATTACACTGTATAACAATGATTTTGCTGATATTTTCAAATATGTAAGACCTTTGACTATCTGACAAAATGTTTTTATAAACAGAAAATGACCTCTCCACATCTATATAAACTGAAAGCGTGAGGGATTTTAAGAAACTTGACCTTAACCATTTTAATTTGTATATAAATATTACAGTTATAATAATAATTTAATATCAACAAATATGATTAATATAATAGTAATATTTAATTATTATTATTATTACTATTTTTTATATATATTATACGCATTTATGATTTTTAAATATATCAAATATGCAATTATATGCTAAATAAGTTTGCTTATTTGGAATCTAGACTTCATGAATAGAGCTTTTATTGTAATCCAATATAAATCTAGCTGTGTTAATAAAATATGTAGTCATGAACATCCAAGCTCTATTTATAACTAATAATATATTCTTTGTAATTTCATCCTATTTATAATATAAAAAACTGATATCTATTTAAAATTTAATAGTCTACTTACTAGTATGTCCATGTTATTTAATTTTTAATTGTTTTCATAAGTATTTAATACTTTTATATTTAATTATAAAAAATTAATATTTTTTTTATATTTCATTGATCTGTATTTATTTATTTTTGAAATTTAATAATGCTTGGTATTTCAATGTATTTTTTTTATCTTTTAATTCTGTCTATTAAGTAAATTATGATTTTAACTACACATCCATTTTATGTATATTGTTCATATTATATAGTTTTGTTAATTGATAATAATAATTAATTCACAAACTTTATTCTATGTTGTCAAGTTATTGTAATTCATAACTTATAAATTATTATGAAATATCAGTGATAATTTTGTTTGGGATTTTGATGGCCTCAAAAGTCTTTGAAGGAAAAAAGTACCAAATTAATACCTTTTGATATTTCTAATTTACCACAATTGTATTTTATATAATTATAATCTGTACTTTTTAGAAAATTAGATAAACAACTAAAATATGAGGCTTTTAAACAATTAATAATAAAAATATGAATATAGTTTTGAATTTTAATATAAATTATTATATAGATGTATTGGATATTCTATAGTCAAATGTCTAAAATTATGTGTAAAATGAGTTGTTTTCTAGTATTTTACGAAAAACATTTTATTATTAGATAAATAAATGCAGAAAAATTAGTTTTGAGTTGTACTACTAAAATTAATGCATTTTAACATTATTATATATATTAATTTAATTATAAAAATAATAAATATTAATCAATAGTTTGTATTATGATCTTTTGGAATTTATCAAGTATTTAAAATAAACAATTTTTAAACTACTAAAATGTTTATCTAGACCACTGGTTCCCAAACTGGGGGACATGTGCACAACATTTCTAGGGAAGTGCAAGCAGTTATTATGAAATACAACTTTTATTGATTAAACTATTTTTATTTTAAAATGTAGAAAAAAAAATTAATTGACCAGTTCTCTTTATCCATCCTCTATCAAATATTGAACCAAACATAAAAAAAATGTTATCAGCGTTAACCTCAATTAACATTAATTATTAATTTTTTTATTTACTATTATTAATATTTTATAGTAATTTATTACTATAATATTTCACCTTAATTGATTGTTCCATTTTATTATTTATTATTATTTATATTTTATAATTATTATCATAAATAAAAAAGTAATTTTGAATTATAATTTATTTGTAAAGTACCCAAAAAAAGTTGACCAAGTTTTTCAATTTATAGAAGGGGACACAAAATGTTTGAAAATCTATAAAGTAGAATAAAAGAGGTTGAAAACCACTGATCTAGACAATAAAAATAAATAAATTATATTATTTTTTTTTACTTTTGAGAACTATTGATATACAAAAAATAAATATGAAATAAATAAAACTGCAAATTTATTTGTATTTTTAAATGTAAAAATATATTACATAATATGATCAGTTAATGTAAATCAAGATTTAACAATATAGACATAGCATAAATTCATATAACAAATGATTTGCTCAGGTTTATTATAAAATACTAATACCAAAAATCTCAATAATAATGACTAATTGTTTTTAATTATATCATCTTAATAAAATAAGATTTACAATTGAAATAACTAATTACAAATTTATATCTCTAGAAATAATATATTTTAGTATTATAATATTAAAATAAAAATGTCTTGTCTTAAGACTTGATATTAAAATATAAAATTATCCATTATTTAAGTGATAGTAACTTATTAAACTGAAAACTCTCTTTTTCTTTTTCTTTCAATTCAAATAGTCTGTGGATACCTTTTCGTAAGATCATGAAATTATAATCTATAATTCCTATGAATAGAAATAATATTATTTATAAATATATTACTATATTAACATATATAATGTATATGGTTAAGAGTATGTAATTTGTAATCTCTCACTCACTTTGTTTTTCAAAATTATCCTCTCGTAATATACATACAAGCGCTAAAAAACTGCACACTTCTCTTAAATATAAAATTGTACCATTATTGAGTTTAATAAGACTTGAACTTTGGTCATCAAAAGCTGGATCGTTCATAAGTCCTGGGTCTTCTCCTAAACTGTACATGTTTCAATGTATTTTAAAAAGTCCAAGTTAAATATTTTATTTATAGTAAATTGCTTACCCATAAATATTTGATAAATCTATCACAACATCAATCATATCACAGCAAAGTTCATAACTTTGCATGTCAACTGGCGATGAATCAGTTGCAACATATATTTTAGTTTTAACATCAAATAAAAAAGCTTTTTCAATTCCAGAAGTCTGAAAATCAATAAAAAATTAATTGATAATTGATTAGTGTATTCAAAAGAAATATGAAAATTAATAGAAATTTTATTACTGAAATAATAATATTGAGAAAATTTTCAAGAGTTGCATACTGAGGAATCATTTTTTGTACAACTCGACTAAATGCTTCAAATATGCTATGATCATATATTGACGTCAAATGGAAACTAATATATATTTTTTGTTCGTCTCCTATAAGGAAAATTGCAATGATCACAATTTAATAAATAAATAATATCTAATATTTATTTTAATAAATACTAAATTATATGGTGATGAAACTATTTTCAATAAAAATATAGTTTATTACCAGAATCTATAAGATCATCATTAGCTCTTTGGTGGATTTCTCGTTGAGTCTCCATTTTGGTATCTTCTGTGAGACCATCAACTTTATGAATAAAAACTTCAAATTTTATATTATTATTTACTTTGTAAGCTTTTGTTACAACTGAATGTAAACGGTTCAACGCACTAGCTATAGCATCCTATGCATAAAAATAATATTTTAACTTAAATTTCATAATTTATAGTATTTTTTAATGTGATAAATTATTTACTTGAGCATCAATCACAAATATAAGTGATTCACATCCTTGAAAAATAGATTCTGCTTCATATTCAGGATCGGTAAAATCAAAATGACCAGGAAAGTCACAAATTTGGAAATTGACAAATGCTGAATTATTTACAACATCTTTTAACATTGAATTGTTACTGCCAATAAATAAAGTCTCATTAGGAGACATTTTTTGAAATACTACTTTTTGTATAGAAGTTTTTCCACTCCTGTAAAAATGTATAAATTTATAAAAAATATTAATTTTTAGTTATATAAAAATGTACCCTCGTAATCCCATAAGCACAAGACGTGGTAAATCCTCTTTTTCTGATTCGGCATCTTCATCAGATACAAATGGATTGTATTCATAATGTTTTGGTAAAGAACCAATATCAAAATTAGTGTTAAAAGATTCATCCTCAACTCGATTAAATGACTAAATAAATACATAGAAAAAAATTACACAAAATTATAAGATTAGTCACATCAAATATTTTAACTTTTTATCTAATTATGGTAGACATTTAAGTACATTTTCCCAATAGGTCATTATAATTGTAATGGTATATAAATATTTTAAAATATGTATTAATATTGTTTTAAATTAATTTTTTTTAAATATAAACTCTAATTGTTATTTAGGCAACAAGTTAACTTAAATAAGCTTACATTAGATATGCAAAAATTTTTAACTTCTTCTTTAAGTAAAATTAATCTTTTGATTTTTGACAGGAATTTTTAAAATATATCATATAACCAACATTTGGAGATTAATTTAAAATTTATAATAGTTAAAATATTCATTAGTTACAAATTGTACTGGCAGTTTTGGTAAAATATGAACTTAACGAATACAAAAGCAAATTTTATTAAAGATGGTAATCGTATAAGAAATCAATTTAAGTGGTGTTTACTTATCACAGAATATCAAATGTAAATACATACCATTATTGCTTAGTATTCCGTTTTAAATAAAATATTTATCTTAATAGGAAAATAATATAACTTTCAGTGGACTAATCACATACTTGAACAAAAGTCCTATGCGAAATGATCGAACTCGGATATTTTTATAGTTGTATACGAATTAAATTCAAATGGAACAGCGGAAACGCAAGAGTGGTTTTCTACGGAATGGTTGTTTTGGTTTAAAATGATTACAGAACGCTTCAGTTGATAACATTTAAATAATAATTCATATAATATACGTGCCGTACAAGTGTATAACCACAGAATAGTTGAATATTCATATATGTCTGTGGTACAACCTCAGAATATACGTTCCGTCTTATCAATTATCGTCTAAGTATTTACCCATGTGATCGTATTGTACTATACCACGGTTTAAGATATACCTAAAGTATAGTAGGTAGGTTAGTATACTACTGGGTCTATGGTTAGTACCTACATGGTTAGTATACTAAGTATAAAGCCGGGTTCACACTACACCGTGCCGTGTCGTGTCTTCTAGAATAATTATCTCTGATTGGTTGAATTATATTGTTACATCAAAGTATACTGTATAATAAATCACAAGTTACCTCACTAACCAAAAGATACCGTGAAGTTGATTTTATCCAACTTTTGAACGTGTGGTTACCGATTTTTATAGTAATAATTTAATATTCAATGATAACATTATTCATAATAACAAAAGGCTCGGAAGGTGTTGCATTTGCATGATTTTATTGGGATATTTATTCAATTTATTGCTAAGTAACCTTGAAATTATTTTCATGACACTATGAAAAACCTAATGGGAACATTTTGAAAGAAAATTTTAAATTTCAAACTATTTTATTTTGTTTTATCTTCTATATTTATACTTAGAAATTATGTTTAGCTTAGTAAAATATACTAACAACATTTTTACTGTTATATACCAGTATACTTAATAAAATATCTTTATTTATGAACATTATTGTGTTAAAAAAAAAATTAAGTGCATATTTTTGAAGCATATTTGTACTTTTTTAAGCGCAGAAGTGCATGTATATTTAGTACTTTTAAGTGCATTAAGTTCCGAGTCCTAATATTAATATAATGCATATTGTCTATTATATAATTTAATATTTATCAGTTTTTATTTATTGAAACTTATGAAAACATTTTATACCTAATAAAAAAAACTCTCGAAAATATGTAATATTAAAATTTGATAACATCACCATAAGGTATATATTGGTATCACACATTTTCAAAGCACACGGTCTGGTAAAATACACGTTACGGTGTAGTGTGAACCCGGCTTGAACCCAGCTTTAGTCTTACTTTGTGCATTAACCATAGACATATAAAGATATCATAAAAATGTCTTAAACTAATAAACAGTTATTATATAATATTGTATATTGATGTATTATAAATTACTGTATCTAATAATTTTGGTTAAATTTAATTTGATTGTATACATTTGTTTGCTTAAAGAAATTGATTAAACTTGTATTATGATCAAAAGTTCTTATTTCTTATCAAAAGAACATAAAAAAATATAATTGGAATAAAAGGTTTTTGATTAGAAATGTAATAGTTTTTTAGCACTTCAGTATAATCCTCGGTAGTATAGTGGTAAGTATCCCCGCCTGTCACGCGGGAGACCGGGGTTCGATTCCCCGCCGGGGAGGAAACTTTTTGCTCAAACTCGTAGTTTTTTTTAATCTTCAAGTAAATTGATTTTGAGTTCATTTTTTGAATATTGTTGTGAATTTTTTTTATTAATACAACATTTAAATATTTTTTTTAGATTATTTTCGCACATCAATTATAACAATTATAATTAATGTAATAATTATAATTTGTGGAAATACAATGTTTCCATATTGTACTATATAGTGTAAACACCATAATTTACTTTATAAATCACATTTATAATATTACATAAATTCCTAAAATTATAAAATCAATTAATACTACTGTAATATGGTGTCGGAGGATATTTTTATATGAAATTAGATGTTTCTCGTTTATTATTCTTCATTGTTTATGGTATTTTTAGCTTATTTTCTATAAACTATTACAATTCATTTAGATTTAAATATTTAACATTAAAGCATCGATTTTAGTGTAAAAATAAAGTTCAAAAAAACCATGCACCATATTATAAGTTTTATGATTATATAACATTGACTTTTAATAACTAAATTATCACGAGAATTTTGACAAATTTAACTAACATAAAGCTGTATATTACTCATATGTTGTATTGTTACAATATTATTGAATATAATATAAAAATATTATGCAAGATTGTTAAATAATTACATGTATTTGGCGATAATTTAATAGGCTGTCGAATAATAATAGTCCAATTGAGCTTAGAATATATCAGTTATAGGCTAATTTTTGTATATACATATACAAATTTACATTTCTGAATTTAAAATGGTATAGCAAAATCTAATTTTTAGTGATTTTCTATATATAATTTTAAATCTATCATCATCATATTGATGAGAAAACTTAATAATCTTAAAAAAAGTGTTAACCATTTTACTAACGTATCACACATGGCTTAACAATGTGTGTAAGTAACCCCACTACATTGCTATTGTTGAAACGTCAAGTTCCAAAAGCATGAGGTACGCACGCAGTTCGATTTATTTAACAAGGTGTCTTCAGGAAACATAAATCCACGGTTAGGTAACTGTCATCCGAAAAAAAAAATATTAAAGTGAAATGGTAATAACAGTTGCCAGAAAAACTCTTGAGTGATTGATTAATAATAAAAAATTTTAAAAAAAATTGCAAAAATTAATTAGACTTTTCAAATTATTATGTTGTTACTTAACATATGAGTTAATTTTTTTTAAAAAAAAAAAAACATGAGAAAAAGTTGCGAAACATAATCTTTTTCATATTACCTTTGTTTGAAATATGTGTATAAAATATATAAATAAAAAAAGTGCAAAAATTTTCCTCCCCGGCGGGGAATCGAACCCCGGTCTCCCGCGTGACAGGCGGGGATACTTACCACTATACTACCGAGGATTATGAATATGAGTAAAAAATTTTTTTTATTTAACCCACACAATTATTTATTATTTTTTATTATTATTATTATTTTTTATTTATTATACAAATTAGCAAATCACACATAATAGGACAGAGGAATCACGATTCAAGATTCATGTTGGAAGATTCTAATCTTTCTGTCGTATACCGGATCCCGGTTTGGTTAACGGCGACCAATAAAACCCGTAGTATGAATGGTCGTTTTCAATCGCAATTTCATGTTCGTCGAAAAAACGGTATTGTGAGACCTATGTATGTTGCATCAACGCATTATTTGGACGTACGTCATCCAGAGTAGGGCATTATTCGAATAAAGTCTTATTTTGATGATTATTTAGATAACATTTTATTCGAATAATCGAAAAAAAAAATAATTCGTATATTTTATTCGAATAAATATCTAGACAAAATGTTGCCCATCTTTGACGTCATCACTACGGACGCCGACGTGCTTAGTGCAGGCGTGGATCTAAAACTAAAATTGGGGAGGGGGGTCATTTTTTCGAAAGTACAAAAAGATAATACACAATTACAAAATAATAAAAGTAAATTATCAATTCAAATTAGAACGTTATGAATATAAAAAATTGTTAATTTTTAAAATTAAATAACAAAGTTCAATTTTCTTTGTTTTATTTTTCCAAATTTAGAAATATTATTATCAACATTTATGGGTATATTCATGTGAGTATTGAGCAAAGGGTTATTTTCCTGTATTAGACGAAGCTATGTCTTGACACGCTTGAGAGTAGATAATGATCGCATTTATAGTATTTTTTAACAAGTTATTAGAACCTAAATTAGCGAATAGCGGTACCATAGCAAGTATATGGTACCTAAAATATTATATAAACATACGGGTAACGGATTGGGAGTAACAGAATTGGTTCCCGTTTGAAAAAGGTATTTTATTAGGTATAGAAAAATTGGTTCCCGTTTGTGTACGGGTTAGGCGGGCCAGTGCATAGAGAGCAAAAAACAAAATTTTAAATCTATATGTATGGCATATAGACATAATTATTATATCGATGAGATAGAGTATAGAAATATAATAGATATTATAATAGATTACTAGAGACTAGCAAATTACTAGCAAACAGGAAAGAAATAACAAATACTTGGAAAATTGTAAGATTGAGTTCAGTAATGAGAAGATTACGAGAATTGTATATTTAAAGAAAGTTAGCTTTAAATTTGTAAATCAACTATTTAAAATTGTATATATTTTATCATTTTTTTTTTAACATACATTAACGCACATTAACCAAGCCTACTTTAAAGTTGACAGTAGCCTGTCAAATTGAGAAGGAAAATGTGCGTTATTAAACGGAAACCATTTCGGCTATACCTAATAAAATACCCTTTTTTAAACGGGAAACAATTCAGCACGTTGGGTTGGAGCTCGGGAATCAATTCAGTATCAGCCAACGGATTGACAGTAATCTTATCTGAGATAAGTTATCTTTCCGTCGAAAGTCGAACACTTAAAAAATTCCGCAGATTTACTATTATATTTATATTTATTCACCAACAATATTATAGTCTATCAGTAAGTTTATAATCACTATTAATATTCTTAGAAGTTGGATGGTGAAATTATGATTTTATGAACAAGTGGTGATGTAGTTTAAATACATATAAATATAATATGTTGTATAACATTTTTATTGTAAGAAAAAATCTAATTAAAAAAAAATTAAAAATTATCCATGTTTTAAAATAATACGTATTTTAATTTTTAAATAAACATGATGGACCTAATCTTGACGTTTTTTGGGGGGGGGGTCATGATCACCATGACCCCCCCTGGATCCGCGCCTGGCTTAGTGGGACTCATACTGTGTGAATTAGAGATGTTAAGTTCGCGAACGAATAGTTTATTTGAACTATTCTGAACTGTTTCAGTACCTGTAAGTTAACAGATCACAGTTTAAAAAAAATTGGTAGCATTGTATAAATGAAATAGTTCGCGAACTTCCTTAAAAATTCTCTGTGATTCGTTGTTTGAAACAACGAATTTAACTTTTAACCCTGTAAATGGTAAACAGTTGTTTACAATTAGATAACAAATACATAATTGCCCATAAGTAGTGTGAATTACTACTGAACTGTGTATTGCTGTTCTAATAGTGATAAAACGAATAGTTCATTGTCAAACAATATCAGTATGATCAATAAAATAAGTAAACTACGTGAACTTAAGAATAGTTCATTTGAACGAACTGTGTACTAATGAACTATTTACAGAAATTAACTAAACTTTCCATCTCTAGTTTGAATAG